ATTATTGCGTTAACTATCGTGTTTGATGATGTTGTTTGGAAATGTTTTGATGCCATACTTAATTCAATTTAACTTAGTCAATGTTATAGATATTTACTTTTTTTGCACTAATCTATGATAAATTCAATTAGTTCTGTGTAATATTAAGAAATGAATGTCTGTCAGGTGTACCAACCACTGCTGACAGCTGAATTTTCACAATAGAAGTACGTCATAATTGAATCGGAAATTGACAACATCTGTCAAATAATTAGGTTTTCCATTTTGTTTAACCTATAAACAATTAAACACGTCATTAGATTGACGTTTATTAAAATCGTTTCCAAGTTTGAATAATAGATGGACGAGAAATGTCATTTGACTTTGATGAAGTAATTATAATTATTATTGCGTTAACTATCGTGTTTGATGATGTTGTTTGGAAATGTTTTGATGGATCGTTTTATGGAAAACGTTGTTGCATGGATTTGCTTTAAACTTTTGATGAATTCCTCGTCGCCGGTAGCGACGATCGGAATTTCTCTGTAACTGTGCTAATTAAGATAAGTGTATCGTAGCAACGGACGAAGTTGCAGCGCGACGGAGGAACTTTCTCGATTCTGCTTCTTCTCCTTTTGCTTCGAATGAGAACGAGAGATTTGATTAACGGCGGAGTTTGATTTTCCAGCGAGTTTCTCTAAATTGGTTTTGATGTTGGTGGATGCAGGCAGGGGTCTAAGGGTGCGAGGGTTTGAGAGAGCAGCGCGCACCACTCAACAACATATGCGTGTATGTTGTATGCATATGCAGACGTGTGTGTGTTTGGGGGGTGGCGGAATAAAAAGGGAGCGTTCATACACACATTCGCACTTGCACACATCCTTCGTTTCTCTCCCTAGCATCATCATCACATTTGCGATTTAAGAGGCGACAAAATCCATCCAGAAAACCAACCCCCCCCCTCGCGCGTTAATTGTACGATGCGGGACTCCTCTTTCTACGGTACACAAAAAAATACTTTGATGCACTCAACTGGAAGGGATTGTAAAATAGAAGGTGGCGTTGGAGGAGGATGAAGAGAAGAGAAGAGAACGACCCTAGAGCAAAGTACGATTTTCGCACGTCGAAATTTCCATCCATCGCGCGTCCCTTGTTATATAACGCTCAGGGCCGGATTTTACTTTGCTCACAACTTAAAATAAATTGGATTTTTTTTTTGAAAATTTGAATTTGTGTCTGAAAAATAAAGATATGAAATAATAGTTTTAATATGCTTCACAGATGGTGCTGATTGATATAATGTTGCGTATACACTATGGAAATGTATAATTGAAATAATTTAGTGTAGAAGGCTTGAGCCTGTCCTGGATGTTGCGATAATCCCAGGTTTAATTTCCTTGAGTGTGTGAAAGAGGTGTTGGTGGTAGTTGCACTTAGGTGATTGCTGCTGCTTGCAGCATTTCCATAATGAGCGAAGATTGGTTAATGACGGTTTTCTTTTCTTCTGTTGCAGATACATAGAACGATGGCTCCGCATCCAGTGATGGGATCGTAGAGTGTTGCTGTCTGCTCGTGCGTGTGTGTGTTATGTGAAAATATACAAACAATATACTAAGAATAGATGCGCGTTAGTGCACAGAGGAGGAGCACAGTTTGTTGGTCATCTTAAAAATAGACGAGAGAAGATGATGGTGCGGTGTCTGGTGGCCGTCCTCCTCGCGGCCGTGTTCGCGCTGCAGACGACGGCCTCTTCGGTGGTGTCGTCCACCCATCCGGAGAACGGTGAACCGGAGGGAAGATGCGAGGAAATAACGATACCGATGTGCAGCGGAATCGGATACAATTTCACGAGGATGCCGAACGAGTTGAATCACGATAACCAGGAGGAAGCCGGTCTCGAGGTCCACCAGTTCTGGCCTCTGGTCGAGATCAAATGTTCGCCGGATCTGCGGTTCTTCCTGTGCTCGATGTACGTGCCGATCTGTCTGAAGGATTACATGAAACCGTTGCCGCCGTGCCGTGATCTGTGCAGGAGGGCGCGCGAAGGATGCGAACCCATCATGCAGCAGTACGGCTTCAAGTGGCCGGATCGTATGGAATGCGATCAGTTCCCGGTGCAGGGAGCGTCGCAGGAGGAACTCTGCATGGATCAAGCACAACCGGATTCGCACGGACCTCCGCCACCACCGCCACCACCCTCGAAACCGGTGACGCCGAAACCGCCGAAACAAAACAAGAAATGTAAGGATCCAAAAAACTGCGCGGATCCCCCAGGGGACAACAACAACAACAAAAACAGGCAGCGAGGAAAAGAGTGCAGCTGCAAGTGCCAGACACCTCTGGTGCCCCTGGGGAAGGACTCACCACTGTACAACCGAAGCGTGGCCGTGGGGGGCGTCGCAAACTGTGCCCATCCGTGCCAGGAGACGTTCTTCAATCCAGACGAAAAGGAGTTCGCCGCCGTGTGGATAACACTTTGGTCGGGCCTGTGCGCGGCCTCAACACTAATGACACTGATCACCTTCCTCATTGAGACGGAGAGATTCAAGTATCCGGAAAGACCTATAGTCTTCCTCTCCGCTTGCTACTTCCTCGTCTCCGTTGGGTATCTAGTGCGCGTCGGAATCGGACACGAGAAGATCGCATGCGATGGACCCATAATCAGATACTCTTTGGACTCGCAAGGACCGAGCATGTGCACTCTAGTGTTCCTTTTGGTTTACTTCTTCGGCATGGCCTCCTCCATCTGGTGGGTCGTGCTCGCCTTCACCTGGTTCCTGGCTGCTGGATGCAAATGGGGTAACGAGGCGATCGCTGGATACGCACAGTACTTCCACTTAGCAGCGTGGCTAATCCCTACTGTGCAAACTGTGGGAGTTTTACTCTCTGGAGCAGTCGACGGAGATCCAGTGTCGGGAATCTGCTACGTCGGAAACATGAACATGGAGAATCTACGCACGTTCGTCCTGGCTCCTCTCCTAGTCTACCTTCTGGTGGGCACGAGCTTCCTCTTCGCCGGTTTCGTGTCTCTCTTCAGGATCCGCTCAGTGATCAAGAAGCAGGGTGGAGCAGGCGCCGGATCCAAGGCAGACAAACTCGAGAAACTCATGATCCGAATCGGCATCTTCAGCGTCCTCTACACAGTCCCAGCGACCATCGTCATCGGATGTCACCTCTACGAGAACACCTACCACAACGAGTGGCTCTCCGCCATGGCCTGTCCATGCCAGGTCCCACATCTTCGCTCTCGCCCCAAACCTCTGTACTCGGTGTTGATGCTCAAGTATTTCATGGCTCTGGCCGTCGGCATCACTTCGGGCGTCTGGATTTGGTCCGGGAAGACTTTGGATTCGTGGAGGAGACTGTGGAGAAGGATCATCGGAAGACCCGATCCTTCTGGAGCCGGAGCAGTGCTGATCAAGTCGAGACCGGGAGGAGGAGGAGGAAAAGCACCGCCGCAGTATCTCGTCGCAGGACCGGGGAGCGCTTCGCTGTTGGGACCTGCTGGAAGCGTCGCTTCTGCCAGTCAACATCATCTGCATCACCACGTCCTGAAGCAGCCGCCGCTTAGTCACGTATGACAGGCGGGCGAAGGGGCCGCGCCCGTCGTCATGAGCAAT